CCGTTTTCGGGACTGGTGAGCTAGGCGCCACCAGGGCACCATCTTGCTCGGCCTCAGTGCGCAGGATCAGCTCTTTTGCCTTTCGGCGTTCCCGCTGGACCCCTCCCCATGTGAAGCGACCGTCTGCCTTTAAGAGATCGCACTCGTCGCTCAGTGGTGCAGTCAAGCACACCCTTTGGAGGGCCAAGCGAGTTCTTGCCTCTGGCATCGCCAGCTTTGCACGAGTTGTTCACAGTGCTGCCTCTTGCGAGGCGCATTTTTTCGGGTTTGCCAACCCGTGTGATGAATATCCTGTGCTCGTTGACCTGCAGCCGAGCAGTCCTGTTGAGTTTTTCAGCGGCCCCTCGGATCCTTCGGTGAGTTTCGTCGCCTCGGGTTCCCCTGAGGCCTCTGGAGGCCACTGCTCGGCCCTTCTGGACAGTCTTGAGATTTGCATCCACACGGTGAATTGCAACCGATGGTCGACCATGAAGGAGCTCATGGCCAAGACTCCTGCGCACATTATCTTGCGTCAGGAGCACAGGATGCGAGAGGAGGAAGATCTCTCACAAGCCTCGGCGTGGTGTGCTCGCCAAGGGTGGAAAGGCATCTTTACCGCGGCCCACGGTACCGCTTCTGGTTCCACGTCTGCTGGCACTTGCATCCTTGTCAGAGACTTTCTCGGCCTTCATGAGCCCCCTGGGGGGGCGGTGGTTGCTGTTGGCAGGGCGACTGCTGGCATAGTGCACCTCCCGCGAGGTGATCGTTTCGCTCTCTGCTCGGTTTATCTCCATCACTCTGAAGGGTTGTCTGAGCGTAATGTCGATCTCCTGGCCATTATTGGGGAACGTATGTCGTCCCTTTCTCTTCCGTTTTGTATTGGAGGGGATTACAACATGGATCCGGGCACTTTAGCCAGTTCGAAGTTCGCTGAGAAGTTGGCGGGGCTGCCTGTGGTGGCCGAGGGCCACACTCATTTTGGCGAGGGCCCTCCGTCTTCCCTGGACCACTTTGTGTTTTCGGGGGGTCTTGGTAAAACGGTCAAGAGCTGTGAGGTCGTTCAGGACACTACCTTGAACCCCCACAGGCCGGTGCAAGTTGCGTTGCATGCTTCGTTCGGCAAGTTGAAAGGTCTCAGCTTCAGGAAGCCCCCTCCTCTCCTTGCCACGGCTGTGATAGGACCGCGTCCTGCACCCCCTGACTGGAGTATTGTGCGTGAGCTTCCTGACCAGGCCTCCCATTGTGTTGCTGTTGGTGACGCTAGGGGCGCATCGTCGCTTCTTTCGCCTTGCTATGCTGCCTGGGCGGACAAAGCCGAGGCTGAGCTTGTGCCGATTTTGGGACAGTCTGTCCCCTGTCTTGGTTCGAGATCCAAGGGCCCTCAGCTTGTTTGGAAGAAGCTTGTCGGCCGTGATCATGCTATTCGGGATCCTGAACATCATGCTGTGCGGTGGCTCAGCGTCCAATATCGGGCCCTAGCCTCGCTCCTGGATTCGAACCAAGGCGATGCTCCTCAGGCGAAGTCGCTGACGACGCTGCTACAGGAGCCTCCGCACCATTTTGAGGTTTCTGCTGCTCTTCGGCCTCTCTTTGAAGAGGTTGCCCGTGCTGTCGCCAAGCCTTGTCGGGATCTCTTTGGGGGTAGGTGTTACGACGTGGCTCTTCGGGACAAAATTGACGTTGCGGTCAGCAATGCTCAGTCTGCCGCCAAGAAGAGATCCCGTCAAAGTTGGCAAGCTTGGATTCGCGCTGGCCTGGATGAGGGAGCGAAAAGAGTTCACATGTTTACCAGGGACCCGTCCCCTTGGAAGGCCACCACCACCCTTTCAGCTGATGGCACCATCGTGTCTGATCCCCTGGCGCTTTTGGCTTCGGAGGGTTTCAAGTTTGCCGCCTTTTGGGGCCAGGGCTCTGGAGCCTCTAGGGGCCCCCCGTCTCTTGGTCCGACTCTGCCGAGAGTTTCGGCCGACGAAATCAGGGAAGTCTCCAAGAAATACAAGAGGGGTTCAGCGGTTGCCTATGATGGCTTCAGTTGTCGTCACTTCCAGTACTTGTGTGATGATGCGTTGAACTCGCTCGCCGTCTTGTTTGAAGTTATGGAAGCGCTCGGTGAATTGCCCGAGCAGGTTTCTGCCGTGCTGCTCGCGCTTCTCTCGAAGCCCACTGGCGGCTACAGGCCTATAGGGGCGTTCTGCTCCTGGCACAGGGTGTGGGGGAAGCTGCGGCGCCCCTTCGCCCTCGCCTGGGAGCAAGAACACCCCCGTAGGTACTGGGCTGCTGGTGGGCATCGAGGTGCTGCTGACGTCGTTTGGAGGCAGTCTGTTCGGGCTGAGCATGGCACAGCGTCGAATGAGGTTTCGTGCAGTGTGTTCTATGATATGCTTAAGTATTACGAGACCATTGACCTTGTCAAGTTGATGTCCCAATGTCAGAGACACGGTTTTCCCTCCCCGATTGCTCGCCTTTGCATCTTTGCCTTTCGGTGTGGCCGTTTCCTTTCCCTTGGTGGCATCCTCACGGG